TTGAAGCACCTTGATCTTTCTTATAATAGCTTCAATGGACCAATTCCTCCTGCTTTTGGGAATTTGTCTGAACTTGAATATCTGGATTTTTCATTGAATAAGTTTGAGGGTTGTATTCCAGTAGAGTTTGGTGGTCTTGAAAAACTTAGATGATTGAATTTGTCAAACAACTTACTTGTAGGAGAGATACCTAGAGAACTTGAGGTGCTGGAAAATTTTCAGGAGTTTCAGATTTCTAGCAATAGATTGAATGGTTCTGTTCCACATTGGGTGGGGCATTTGACCAATTTGAGAGTTTTTACAGCCTATGAGAATCATATAGTTGGTAGGATTCCTGATAAACTAGGCTCGGTTTCTCAACTTGAATTGCTGAACCTTCATTCAAACCAGCTTGATGGGCCGATACCGAAGAGCATTTTTGCAATGGGGAAGCTTCAAGTTTTGGTTCTCACCCAGAATGGACTTACTGGTGAGCTTCCTCGAGAAATCGGCGATTGCGGAGGCCTTTCTAGTGTTCGTATCGGGAACAATAAACTTGTTGGTACCATTCCCAAGACCATTGGAAATGGTGGTAGCCTTACATACTTTGAAGCTGATAACAACAATCTCTCTGGTGAAATTGTCTCAGAGTTTGCCTCCTGCACTAATCTTACACTCTTGAACTTGGCCTATAACGGATTTACCGGAATATTTCCTCCGGAGATTGGACAACTTATGAATCTTCAAGAGTTGATTCTTTCTGGAAACAGCCTGTTTGGGGATATTCCTAGATCGATTCTGGGGTGCAAGAATCTTAACATGTTTGATTTAAGCAGCAACCAGTTTAATGGTACCGGACCGAAGAAAATTTGCAATATGACCAGATTGCAGTACTTGCTCTTGGATCAGAATTTAATCAAAGGGGAAATACCCCGTGAGATTGGAAATTGTGTGAAATTGCTTGAATTGCAGCTTAGCAGCAACTTGTTGACTGGAATTATTCCTCCCGATATTGGTCATATTCGCAACATGCAGATAGCTTTAAATTTGAGTTTCAATCGTCTCCATGGTCAATTGCCAACGGACTTGGGGAAACTAGATAATTTGGTTTCTCTGGATGTCTCCAGTAACCAGCTTACCAGTGATATTCCACTGGCATTTAAGGGCACGTTGAGCTTGATTGAGGTCAAAATCTCGAACAATTTTCTTGTCGGTCCGATCCCGGTGTTCGTACCGTTCCAGAAGAGTCCGAGTTCAAGCTTTCAAGGAAATAAAGGACTCTGTGGGGAGCCATTGAGCTTATCATGTGCAGACTCTATTGGTTCCGACCAGGCAGGTGACCACCATAGGGTTCCATACAGGACTATACTAGCTGTTATTGGTTCAGGTCTCGCGCTGTTCGTATCTGTCAGTGTAATGGTTCTTCTCTTTATGATGAAGGAGAGACAAGAAAAGGCCGCAAAAGGCGAGGATATCGTAGATGAAGAAACCAGTAGCCAGCCGACCATAATAGCAGGGAACATGTTTTTGGAGAATCTCAGGCAGGCTGTAGATCTTGATGCTGTAGTCAAAGCCACATTGAAGGATTCAAACAAAATCAACAATGGGAGTTTCAGAACCATTTACAAAGCAATTATGCCTTCCGGATTGATTTTGGCGGTGAAGAGACTGAAGTCGATGGATAGAATCATAATTCATCATCAAAACAAGATGATTAGGGAGCTCGAAAGACTAAGCAAGCTTTGTCATGATAATCTTGTGCAACCTATTGGTTTTGTCATCTATGAGGATGTTGCCCTTCTGTTGCATCAATATTTACCGAATGGCACACTAGCTCAACTTCTTCACCAGACATCCAAGCAGTCCGACTATCAGCCTGACTGGCCCAGGAGACTGCCGATAGCCATCGGAGTAGCACAAGGATTGGCTTTCCTTCACCATGTGGCGGTTATCCACCTCGACATATCTTCCTATAATGTACTTTTAGATGCAGAGTTTAAGCCATTCGTTGGGGAGATCGAAATATCAAAGCTCTTAGATCCATCCGAAGGAACCGCAAGTATCAGTGCTGTTGCTGGTTCCTTCGGCTACATTCCACCAGGTAATTAATTAATGTACCATCTTTATTTCATCGTCTCGATTTTTGGCTTAATGTTTTTAATCTGTGTATAAATTTTTATCTGTTTTTTATCCAGAATATGCATAAACAATGCAAGTCACTGCACGAGGTAACGTGTAATCGTGTATAGCTACGGCGTTGTGTTGCTTGAGATCCTCACCACCCGATTGGCAGTCGAAGAGGAGTTTGGCGAAGGAGTGGACTTGGTGAAATGGGTTCACGAAGCCTGAGCGAGAGGGGAAATCCCGGAGCAGATACTGGATGCGAGGCTCAGCACTGTTTCCTTCGGGTGGAGGAGAGAAATGCTTGCAGCTTTGAAGGTGGCTTTACTCTGCACCGACACCACACCCGCCAATCGACCCAAGATGAAGAAGGAAGTGGAAATGCTTCAAGAAATAAGGCAAAAGTGATGGAGAATGACCGCTGCTTGCTTTCTGGAAGTTTCATGGATTTTAATGAACTCCATTGTGGAGAAAATTGTCTGAAAAACAGGACAAGGATCCTTGGAGGGGCTCAAACAAGAAGCATAAAATATGATTTTCATTGTGTATAATTGGAGGGCTTAAAAATCAAATCCCAAGCTTAGTATATATATGTATGTTCATTTCTCCATGTTCGGTGATTGACTTGTTCTGTCTTAATAGCAGAGCAGATGAGATATAATGTGGAGGAACTGGAATGAATTAAGATCTCATTAACAAATCAACTCATAAATAATGTTCTATCACACTAGGTAACCCAATTGTCTGGATGTCTTCCTCAATTTTCTTACAACATAAATTAAGGCTGGTCATCATTATATAAAAAAATGTTGAAAATCGCACGAACCAAACGATCTCAGTTATTAATGAAATTATTGTTATACCTAAAGATTTCAAGTTTGAGCATGTCACTTACAAGGATATTTGATTATTTATCGTAAAGTGATTGAGAATCTTTAAATAACTATTTATTTATAACCATTCTAAATTAACAAAAAAAAAATCAAAATCAACCTTGCAATGAAAGGGGTAGGCATAGACCAGGGAAATAATCAGCAAAGCGATTCGCGTGTAGAGTAGGTGATAGTCATCATTATTTCTTTTAATCTCTCATGTTATATTTACAAATTGGTGCGGAGGGTTCGTGATTGCCATCAATATAATCTTATTATTTTTGGTTAAATTTATAGATTTATGTGTTGGATTAGTGAGTGTCCTTTTCAATAATTTAGAATTTTTTAGTGTATAACTATGAATCAATAAAATTTGATTACTAATTTTTTATTAATACGAGATAATTATAAGATAATATTTAATTAAAATAATTATAATCAATTGACAACGTTTACATATCCTGCAAGCCACCTTCTCAAACCTAGTACATTTTAAGAGAATAATATTGTTTTTTATCACGGAGTCCAATTGATAGATTCGTACTCATAATTGATTCTGATCCTTTTTAAATTTTATATGATATATGGTATTATTTTACTTTTATATTATTATTCAATTTATATTATATACAAATTAAATCTATAGTAATATATACTATTATTTTATAAATATATTAAATTATTTGTATATAAAAGATTAAAAGATAAGTTTAATAAAAATAAAATAACATATATTTTAAATAATAATGAGTGGATAAAAACAAGTTTTAATTAGTTATTTATAGATGTAAGTGAATCTGAATAAAATCTAAGATTTATATCCAGAGTCAAACTTTAACAAATATGGTATGTATTAATCTTATAATATAAACCAATGTTATTAAAACCGGACCGGACCGTCCGGTTCGACCGGTTAAACCATGAACCGGTGGCCTATCCGGTCCGATTAACTCCCAAAATCGGATGTGCACAGAACCGGTAAAGAACCGGAAGAATCGGCTAAGAACCGACAAAACCGAGGTGAACCGGCAAAACCGGCGAGAACCGCCGGTTCTCTTTTTTTCTTTAAAAAAATTAAACCAAACGACGTCATTTGTTAAACGAGTCGAGTCGAACTCGAGTACTGCTGAGCTCGACTCAAACTCGAAAACTTTAAAAGTAAACTCAACTCGACTCAAAAGCTCACGAGCTAAAAATTATCAAGTTCAACTCGAACTCGAAATATAATATTGAAACTTGAACTCGAAAAGGCTCGAACTCAAAAAATTTAGAAGCTCGATTGAAGCTTGAAATTTAAGCTCAATTGAAGCGAAAGAATAGTTCACTCTGTGCTCACCAAAAGGCTCTATGATTTTGAATGTCAAATTACCTCTAGTATTTATAGAAGTCGGTTGAGATGCTCTTCTATGTTTCTTAGCCATGTGGGATTGTTTAAAAAAAATTAAACCAAACGACATCATTTGTTATGATTTTTTCCAGCCCCAAATTTATTTTTTGATTATAGTTATATAATTATATTTATTATTTAATATGTTTTACCTTAAATATTATGTTGTAGTTGATTTGAATTATTTTGTTTCACTTGATTTTATGTTTTTTTATCTTATATATGTTATGACTTGTGATATTTTTATACCTTTTAATATTGTAAACTTAAAAAAAGTGTTATATATATATTAATATTGCTTTGAATATTATGTAAAATTTTTAAAAAAAATTATTTTATATAAAATCAGATTTGAATCATAAACACCTCAATTTTAACACATATAAGAATAATTTACAACCAATAAATAAAACTTAGTATTGATAATAACGGTAAAGAAGTTTAAAGTTGCAAGCCGGTCTTTAAGAAGGGAAAACAATTAGGGAAAGGTGATTTCTTCTGGAGCAAGTTAGGTTTTTCAAGTAAACTATTAAAACCCAATCAAACTGTGTTTCATGAATGAACCCTGAGGCTTAAAGAAGCATAAAACTCGAAGTCCGTGCCTTCTCCTCGGCTGATCTTCCTCTGTTTTCTGAATCATTATGGATGATAATGCAATGCCAAACGCAACTCAGACGAAGAAAACAAGGAGCAGCCGAGGTCGTCAACGGATCGAAATCAAGAAACTGGAAAACGAAAGCAAACGCCAGGTAACCTTCTCCAAAAGAAGAAAAGGGTTGTTCAAGAAAGCAAAGGCGCTTTCGACATTGTGCGGGGTTGAAGTCGGCATTGTCACCATATCGAAATCCGGAAGATTTTACGCGACCGATAACATCGATGCGATTCTCGAAACGGAGTCGTTGTCATTCAATAACGGCATGGGAGAGCAACGTGTTAATGGTGAATTTGGATTGGATCAGCCGATCGAGAAGTTTGCGCCGGAGAAGCTGATGGAGTACGCTGCAGCGCTTAGGGAATTGAGGGGGAAAGCAGCGGTTAGATTGGAGGAGCTTAGCGTCCAACCTTCTTCTTCTGTATTGCCATTCGTTGCTGGTCAACAATCTTCTTCGTTATTGCCATTCGTTGCTGGTCAACAATCTTCTTCGTTATTTCCATTCGTTGCTGGTCAACAATCTTCTTCGTTATTGCCATTCGTCCCTGTGCAGGATTCTTCTTCATTATTGTCATTCGTTCCTGAGCAAGATTCTTCTTGTTTTTGGCCATTCTTTGCTGTTCAAGATTCTTCTTCTTTACGGCCATTGCTTGCTGAAGAATAGAATTGAGTTTTAGAAGCATTTATTCGTCAAGTATGTTATTCCTATAATCATTGAGGAAATTTTTTTAGACTTGTTTAGTAATTAGTAGTTTTTTTTTTATTTCTGGTTTTTTATTTGTTGAATTTTATGCGGATTTGCTTAACTGGTATTAGAATGAACATTAATTCAAGATATTGAATATTATTTGAGTTGCTTCAGTATTTGGTGATGTTGTGCGTAGTTCTTTTTAAGCACAAGTTGTACGTTATTTATTCTTCTTTGCTTCTTATTTAGGAAGAAGAACCCAAGGGCATCTAACTCTAATTAAGAGCCAATACAACATCCATAACACAAAATTAACTGAAATACACGGAAAGCTAGTAAACCCAATCAACTTCTAAACTTCCAGGTCAAAGTTCCCCGGAATATCTAATTTATGTTTTATTTAGAGTAAAAATAAGTTGCATTCTTATATTTAATTAAATAGTTACTTTAGTTCTTGTTATTATTTTATATTATTTTGACCATAATATTTTATTTTAGAGGGAAAAAAAAGTCTCTAATTTAGAGTATTGATCATTTGTTGACTAACGGTTTTCATTCATGAATTCATCTTTTTATCCTAAAATGAAATATTGGATAATTATTTAGCCTAATCTTAGGGACGTTTTTTTTGTCATTAGACCTTTTTCTTCAAAGGGAAACAACCTTAATAATTACAAACGAAAAAGAACATGATTGAAACATCTCGTCACTGATCGTCTTAGTCCACCTAGTAGAGCGCGTGGATTTTAGTCACGTGGTCGTGGCTTCTATTCCCCCACAAACGGCGTTGGTATAGAGTGATTCTTGATTTTGCGCGTGCTTTTTTCACTCAATTAAACGGAACAAGTTCTTGGGTTGAACCAGCGGAGAAAAAGCTCATCTTTATTTTTCAATGCCAACCAGAAACATGAGACAAATCAAGTATTTCCTGTTTTGCTCCACAAATTATTGAGCAAACACCTCAATGATTTCCCATTGTTATTAACTCATTTTCTTTCCAATGCCAGAATTATTAGAAGAAAAAAAATACCCAAAGTGAACAACTGTGTGTTCTTGTAAATCAAGGGCTACACTTTGGTTCAATCAAAGCTTGGGGCTGTAAAAACAGAAAGAAACTCAAGGGAAAGAGAGTTCAAGTTGTTTTGAATAGGTTTGGTAAAAAAGAACTAACATGGATGAATATATTTTACTTTTTACGGTTAATCTCAATCATTTATTTTTTAATTTTTACTGTTAATTTCAATCATTTATTTTCATTCATTTAACAATTTTTAATTTATATAAAAATAAAAAAAATACCGTGTAAATAATATATTTTTAAATCATTTGTAGATCACCAATAATACACTCCAAACAAATATTCATATTTTTTATTAATCAATTTAAATATAATACTATAAAAATGTATTATTAAAATAATTATTTCAATCTAATTTATTTTATTTACTACAACAAAATTTAAATCTTATTAACATCCCATCCCGCGGATTAAGACATGAGGGCTTTTATAAATGAGTGGAGAGACAAGTAAGCATTAGATGAGACAATCTGAAATAGCCTACTAGTTATTCATCCATTGACTAACATCAAACAAGGCTGAGGATCATAGATACCACCATTCATGACTTGAATTCAACTAACAACAAATGCAGAGCTGCAAAAACTTTCTTCCTGCATGTAACACAACTGTAATAAAGGAAAAATAAATAAATAAAACTCATGATGACCCTTGCAAGACAAGGGGAATGCTCGGCCTAATGTTAGAAAAGCAATTCAAGGAATCAAATTTTATGTGTGGTTCAAACCTGGAAATGTAAAAAAAAATAAAAATAAAAATAGCAGTTTGCTATGCTTCACAAATTTATTGATATCTAGTACGAATGACATCGTCATCAAACGATGCTCTGATCAGAACGAGTTTTGACAAAAGAAAAAGAAGACAAATTTCAGAACCAACAACTACTGTAAAGTCTCAAGACCACAATTTCTTCACAGTGAATGGAAACTTAAACTTTGACAAAAGAGAAGCAAACATTAGGTCTTCAAGATTCGGATCCCTACTTAACAATGAAATTCCGGCGGCTGATGGGGTTCATCACAACAGGTGGACCAGCAGTACGTGGCCATGCCTGAAATTTCTTGTCTGTTTCTTCCCACCATTCCTTGTTTAAAACAGTGTGAGGTGTAGTCCCTGAGTTGGAGAGGAAAAGCCATTATTAAACCTGAAATAGCCAATGACATAAAATCTACAAAAAGTACAGCAGCTTACCTCCAAAAATCTTCTGATCAGCAACAAGATTATCAGCTACATAAGCGATGGCAAACGATGCCGCAATAGAACCAATTATATATTTTGCTGCCATTTTCAATCTGCAATAGTAAGACACATAAACATAATGTGTAAAAGTTGCATGGGTAGTGTAACAAAAACTTGTTGCCAAAGGAAAAAAATTAGGAAAAAAGAGATACAGGAAAAATCTTACTAACAAATTAGCAAATAGTGTAGATTGTCTCAAAGGTAACATTCTAACCCATATACTCTCTTCCGTTTCTTTTTTTTTTTTTTTTTTGATAGAAATAGGATAGGTTTCATTAAAAAAAACCCTTCATGACCTCCATGTTACAACAGTAACGTGAAGGACATTGGAAGGAGAAAAAGAGTGCCTAAGTATTTATTAATATAGGAATAATACAAAGCCAGATCCTAACAAACTTCTATTACAACATAACACTTAAAAACCAACCAAACAACACTAATACAACCAACTCAGAAACATAACAACCTAAACACACAACCTATTAATCAACCTATTCCTTCTTTAGCTAATTTATCTGATTCCCAATTAGCAGCTCTCAAAATATGCCTAATAATTATATCTTTACTATCCACTAGGGCAGCAATATCTTTCACCAAAGACTGAAACATAGGTGTACAAATAGCCGAATTTTTTATCCACTTCAGAGCTGTAAGGGAATCCGTTTCTAGGATAATCCTTGGAATTGGAACCAAAACTTTTTCCTCCATAAACAACAGCCCTCTTTTGATGGCCATTAACTCTGCAAGAATAGGATGACCACTCCCAGTCCTCTCAGAAAAGGAACTAAGCTGCAGACCTTCAGAATCCCTTATTAGACCCCCTATGCCTCCTTTAACCCACCCCTTAGACATCGCACCATCTACATTTAATTTAACAAAACCTGAAGGAGGAGGAACCCAACACGAGGATGAAGAACAATCCTTTCTTCCCACAGAATCTGCTAGTCTAACATCACCCACAAGGGAATCAAAATGAATCTGCTCATCTTCGAATCTCGCCAAAAACCATGAAGCAATTCTAATGCGAACAAGAAAGAACAATAACGTACCATTCACCTTCCCTTTCTCAAAAATATTTTCATTTCTACACTTCCAAACCAACCACAACACCGCCCTTGGAATGAATTTCCAAATAATGGAGCTCGGAACTAGTTCATCCCAAACTGTAATGAAAGCCAACAGCCTCTGAGGAACCACAAAGGAGACATTCCAAGATAACAATAATCTATTCCACAAACCCCAAACCACCTCACAATGCAAGAAAAGATGAGAAACCGATTCCACACACTTGCCACACAACGGACAAGACGAGTCATCAATCCCTATCACTCCTCGCTTCAACAATTCCTCCCTAACTGCCACTCTCTGATGAACAACCTGCCAAACAAATGTTTCCACCCGAGGCGGAGCGACTTCTACCCATACATGGTTATCCCAAGTACCTTCATTATCCTCATTACCAACCCAATCGAAATAACTCTTAATGCATGATTTAGCTGAAAAACAACCCTCCCCATTCCCTGTCCATACCCAGCAGTCTTCTTGTAAGGATGACAATGAAATACTATTCAACAAGGACATAAGCTGAAGCCATTGTTCCACCTCCCAATCCACCAAATTTCTTCTCAATTGTATATCCCACCAACAACCCGATGAAGAATTCACCCTAAACTCTGCCACTTTACCCCCTTTATTATTTGAGAGAGCAAATATCCTGGGAAACCGATCTTTTTAACGGAATCGAACGCACCCAAGAATCCATCCAAAATTGCACTGACTCTCCATTCCCCGTTTTCAAACACGTTTTTCCTTAGACAGTCCCTAAATTCATCACTGGAAAAGAAATTCTTAACAACTCCTTTCCAAATCAACGAGGCACGATTAGGCCAAGAATTCCCAATCAAACACGAGTTCATGTCCACGTTATACACGCAACATACCACCCTTTTCCACCATGATCCATAATCTGATGCGAATTTCCAGACCCATTTGCCCAAAAGAGACTTATTCAAAAGGACAAAATTTGGAATTCGTAATCCCCCAACCTCTTTGGCTTACACACCAAATTCCAGTTCACCCAATTGATATTCCTCTTATCTGTCGAACCCCCCAAAGGAATGTTGCCATAATAGAGTTTAACTTCTTAACCACACCCACTGGAATTCGAAAAATAGAAAGAAAATATGTGGGAAGCGAACACAAAACAGATTTCACCAATACTGACCTTCCAGCTAAAGATAAGGAACTAGCCTTCCAACCAGCCAACTTTGTATAAAATCTTTGAACAACCGGCTCCCACAAGGCTACCGAATTCTTCTTGGACCCCAACATTAATCCTAAATACTCTGATGGAAGAAATCCCATTGAACATCCAATTTCCTTAGCCCAGCTTGCTAAAACATCCGACTCCACATTAATGCCAAAGATTCTACTCTTGGCAAGATTTAACTGCAAACCCGCCAATAATTCAAAAATTATTAACACCCTTCTAATATTCATCAAGTCTCGAATTGAGGCCTTACTAAAAATAATGAGGTCATCCGCAAATTGCAAATGTGACAGCATAAATGATCGTTCCTGATTTCCTAGCTCAAAACCCGAAAACAGCCCCTTTTCCACTGCTTTAACCAACAACAAATGTAACAGCTCTCCAACAATATTAAACAGCATAGGAGAAAACGAACAGCCCTGTCGAAGACCTCTAGCAGTTTGGAATTTTTCTGTAAGAGACCCGTTAACTAATACCGAGATGGTTGTCGTTGACACACACTGAAAAATCCAAGAACACCACTTATCCCCAAACCCCATTTTACTTATTATTTTCATCAAAATTGACCAATCCACCGAATCATATGCTCTTTTAAACTCTTCCTTTCTATTTCTCTTCCTTTTCAATCAATACCTAATCTCTTGTAATGTAAAACAAAATCCTAATTGGTATCTCCCAAAAGATCATCACAAAACTTCATGATAATCACTAGATATTAGTTCAGAAAAGTGATGAATAGGTAACCAATTGTATAGTCTTAGATTAGTGCATTTAGACTAAAATTCAAGTTGCGGCAAGCAAGTGACTGGCATAGCCAAGTTTCTAAGCAAATAACCGACTGAAAAGGTATTAAACCCCAAAAATAAAACGAACTTATGAGAAATACCTGAGATACAAACAAAGCCATCGGGATTAACTCTACAAAATGAAAACTAGGTCTTTCTTAAACATATGAAATGTAATTTGTTATATCTAATTCCACATATCATTTACACAGATATTGTGACCAACCTCTATGCCATTGGGATCAACTCTAAAGAATGAAAACTAGGTCTTTCTTAAACATATGAAGTGTAATCTTTTATATCTAATTCCACGTATCATATTACACAGATATTGCAACCAGCCTCTATGTCTAACTTATGAAACAGATAACTCATGTGCACAAAGGGCTATATGATTATTGGTGAGCTACAATAAAAAAACATCCCAATAAATTTTTAGTTAAATTCAGTAAGCCACTGTTCAGAAGAAAAAAATCACTCTATTAGTTTGGATCATTGCAAAGAAGTTGAATTACCTCGTAAAGGAGCACACAGGCAGCAGCCTCTATTAGCATTTAAATTGGTTCTTTATGGCACATGATTCATGAAGAATCGTTTGGTTGGGTGCTTGAGTAGGCATTGTTATAAACTTCAGAGAGGGCCAGAGGGGGATTTCAGCGGTCATTTTAGGACCTTTTTTTCTCTTGAATCATAGTTCCACATGTCTTTACGCTAAAGTTGCAGGGTATTTTTCAAGTATAGTTTGGGGCTCTAACTTGGATATTTTTCAAGTTAGGGAAATCCTCATTGAACTAGGAGTGTTGGTTCTTATCAGACTAGGATCTTTTAAAACTTTATTATCAAACAATTTCCAGAATTATTGCTCTCCTGTATTGTATGATTCAATAACTCCTACCAATGAACCTGACTCGCACCTACAAAGTTCCACCTTTTTTTTTTTGCTGAAAACAAAACCAACTTCCTAAGTTTCAATGTAAAGTAGAAGCAGTAAAAAACTAAAAATGCCCCCCAAAAAAACCCTAATTACGTAGGAAACCCTATATATCAAGAAACCCGATAGGGAAAGCCAAACTTTCAAAACGAAACATACGGAGCACAAAATCAATCAACCAGACCCTAAATTGCTAATCTTCTGGCCTAATTCAACCTAATCTGAATCGAATCCTAGCAAAAAAATCATAAAAAGCAGATCTTTTACCCAAAACCCATACATCAAACCAAGATACTAATCATTTCTTTTTCTTCCTAATAACAAACACAGAATGAATTAAAAGAATCCAGAGAAAACTGGAGCACCATCAAAGATATGAAATCAATCCCATAAATACCAAAAGGAGCTTTACACCCGTTACGATGTTGGGTTGAACAAACCTGGGCCGCCGGGTCTCGGGTCAAGGGGAAGCAGAGATGAAGGGGATGGAGCTGCCAGAAAGAGGAATGGATTTGGTGAGCATTTGCTTCGTAAACGGAGTTTTAATTTTATAGCCATCCAGATCCAAGGGCAACATTCTCTTATTCAATCCGACGGTAGAGATGGTTATAGAATAATTTAAGAGACTGTAAAAAAACTGGAATTCAATGGATTAAAATTTGGTCTCAATTAATAAGGTTAAATGTTTTTAGTCAGATTTTAGGTTACCTTATTGATCCGGTTGAATTTAAAAACATTTTTTCTTAATTCATCTCGAAATGTTTAAAAATATATTCATTTAGCCTATTCGTAAAAGGAAACCTTTACCCAAATGTCGTTTAAAAATCATTAATTATTATTATAATATTCATTAACGATTGTTTTTCGAATTAATACTCATTTAGCTAAAACATTTTTTATAGGAAAGCTTTACGTATACCAACTAAAATATATGAAAACGTTTTAAAAAAATATGTATTACAATGACAATTTAATAAAATTAAATAATTTTATTCTCGACCAACTAAATAAACCAAAGTAGAGTAGATATGGTTATAAGTTTTTTATAAATAATATTATATTTCGTGATCTAAACACATCCTTGAAGTTTAAGGTTACATAAAACAAATAAATTGAAAGTCGAAATAATTTGATCCGAAGCCGAGTTCTCAAAATCAACTTCCCAGTTTCCACTAAAAGAATGTAGGCAATACAAGATGATTCAATTACTTATCCAGCAATTTGCAGTCCAAAACCCTTCAAGCTTTCAAAGTGCCACCATGATCCCTCTCAACATGCTCTACGAGGGCAACCGGATCACGAAACCCTTTACTGCACTTGGGGCAGACATCTTAAAGACTCGAGACTGGTTGTTCCTTTCGTGCACCTTCTCCACATGGTCTACCAATGTTGCAACTGAAGAAAACTTCGCTCTGCATTGGGGGCACTCCTCGACTGGCTCTGCACTGCCATTGCTGCTACTACTCAGCCCAACTCCGTCCCTCGCAATTTGCAACAACAACAATAAAACCCTATTCCCATATGCAATAGGGTAAGGGAGAGGTAGAGTAGTAGGCTTCCCCCAAACGCCAGGTAGAGAGCAGCTTCCGTGGAAGACCTCCGGCAATCAGAAAATTAAAAATAAAGATAAAATACAATGCATGTATAAAATAAATAAATAAATACATAGTTGAACATACTTCATATGCAGTCTTCAAATGCGCATCTGTAATGGGAAGTAATCCCTGCAAATAAATCTCTGCGTAAAAATCTCTGCATATAGATAGAAAACGTAAGTCCCGACTAAATTTAAAAAGAGGAAACATGAAGAGAATGATACCCAGTAGTCAGTGATAGCAAGCTACGAGAAGGTATAAAGTCAAATGGGTTAAAACCTAAACTAAGGCAACACTACTCCGCTACCCTAGTTCTAAGCCTTAATAAATTCCAATGAAAGAACCGTATAAAAAGTAGAAGTCATGGAAATTACTACAAAAGGCATTAAAAAAAGAAGACAGAGATGCTACACCCTATGGTTGTGGTCCACACTACTCGACTACCCTGGTCTTAAGTCTCCATACTTTCCTGTCAGAGGTCATGTCCTCGGTAAGGGCTAAATCCTTCAAATCAGATCTCAAACAGTCTACCCACTTCCTCCTTGGTCGTCCTCTCCTTCTGGCACCGTCGACTGTAATCGACTCTACCCTCCTGACTGCATCCGACGGTTGTCGCCTCTCAATTTTTCAGAAACAAGCACCACCCCCAAGGACATCCTAATTGTAGAGTTTGGTGTCATGTCCCACAGAGTCCTACCACATACCCATCGAAGCATTCTCATTTCTGCGGCCTCCATCCTCCTAACGTGATCCTTCTTGATAGCCCAACATTCTGATTCATACAGCAGCGCTGGTCTTATTGTCATTCTATAAAATTTTCCCTTAAGTTTTAGAGGCACCTTCTTGTCACACAAAACTCCAGTCGCCTTTATACGGTGTGTAACGTCATCATCTACACCCCCATCTTTATGTATCATAGACCCTAGGTATTTGAAACAATCATTTGAGGGGAGAACGTGTCCTTTGATGCAAAATTCTACATTTTCATCATTTTGGTTCCCACTGAAGTTTGAACATAAATACTATGTCTTTTCAATATTGATCCTTAGACCTTTTTCTTCCAAAGCAGTCTTCCAGGTAGCCAGTCTACTATTCAACTCATTTTTTGTTTCAGCAACTAGGACAATGTCGTCAGCGGCGAGCATGCACCATGGAACACCGTCTGGTGTCGCACAATAGATGTCGTCCATAATCAAGGCGAAGATGTAAGGGCTAAGAGTCGACCCCTAGTGGAGTCCGATTTCCACCGGGAATGCCTCGGTGTCGCCAACTGTAGTCCTGACGTATGTAGTAGATCTACAGTACATATCACGAATCGCCCAGATATAAGCAGTTTGGATCCATCTCGTTTCCAAGGTCTTCCAGATCGTATCGCGAGGTACGCTATCATACGCCTTCTCAAGGTCAATGAATGCCATGTGAAGATCTCTATTTTTCCCTATATTTCTCCATAAGCCATCGAAGTAGATGAATAGCCTCCATAGTAGATCTGCATGGCATAAAGCCAAATTGGTTTTCCGAAACCCTAGTAACCTATCTCAACCTAGCCTCTATCACCCTTTCCCATAGCTTCATGATATGACTGAGTAATTTAATACCTCTGTAGTTACCACAACATTGGGGATCTCCTTTATTCTTATAGATTGGCATCACCGTCGACTCTGTCCACTCCTCTGGCATCTTGGCAATCTCTAAAATAATAATAAAAATATTGGTCAACCACTTAACTATCTCTTCTCCTAAGGTCATCATAAGGTCAACCACACAGTGATAGGAATTTGATATGGACCGACAGCTTTGTCCCTCCTCATCTTTCTAAGGGCCATTTTGACTTCCTCAATCCCAATCCTACTTGTAGGGCAGTCATTGGCCGTAGTATGATGGTCGGCTGACCCATCAACGTTACTCTCTCTACACTGAGAGACACCATTATTAAATAAGCCAAAGAAGTAACTACCCCAAGCCCCTTTAATATCACGATCTTTCAATAAAAGAACACCATTGTTGTCCTTAATAAACCTAATGCTACCTAGATCCTTTTTCTTATTCTCTCTGAATTTTGCAAGCCTGAAGATGTCGTTTTGTCCTTCCTTGGTGTCTAATCTCTTGTACATTTCCTCGTATGCCTTATCCTTTACTTTAGCCACTGTTTTCTTGGCTACCCTCTTTGCCTCCTTGTATCTTTGTTTAGCTCTCGATCTTTTTTCGTCGTCATTAAATTGTAGCAACTCCTTGAAGAACGTTTGCTTTGTCTTAACCTTAGTTTGGACTTCATCGTTCCACCACCACGATTCTTTATGTTCCTTGACCTTCCCTATCGACAACCCGAGGATGTTTTTGCCCACCTCTCTAATGTAATTTACCATATTTTTCCATAA